GTCCTTAGACCTCACTGTCCTTAGACCCTTCTGTCCTTAGACCCAACTGTCCTTAGACCCTACTGTCCTTGACCCTTCTGTCCTTAGACCTCATTGTCCTTAGACCCTTCTGTCCTTAGACCTCACTGTCCTTAGACCCTACTGTCCTTAACCCTTTTGTCCTTAGACCCTTCTGTCCTTAGACCCTTCTCTCCTTAGACCCTTCTGTCCTTAGACCCTACTGTCCTTGACCCTTCTGTCCTTAGACCTCTCTGTCCTTAGACCCTACTGTCCTTGACCCTCCTTAGACCCTGTCCTTGACCCTTCTGTCCTTAGACCCTACTGTCCTTGACCCTTCTGCTGTCCTTAGGCCTCACTGCTCCTTAGACCCTACTGTCCTTGACCCTACTGTCCTTGACCCTTCTGTCCTTAGACCTCACTGTCCTTAGACCCTACTGTCCTTGACCCTTCTGTCCTTAGACCCTTCTGTCCTTGACCCTTCTGTCCTTAGGCCTCACTGTCCTTAGACCCTACTGTCCTTGACCCTTCTGTCCTTGACCCTTCTGTCCTTAGACCCTACTGTCCTTGACCCTTCTGTCCTTAGACCCTACTGTCCTTGACCCTTCTGTCCTTAGACCCTACTGTCCTTAGACCCTACTGTCCTTAGACCCTACTGTCCTTGACCCTATAAGGAACAACAAAACAACAAAAACCAAGTGGTAAAATGTGAGTTATCCAAAATTTGCTAAATAAAACAAACAAGAACTTGAACAGAGATTCTGCTGTGAAAGGATACAGAACTCATAACGGATACCAGACTTTTGGAGCAGTATCTGAATCCATTTTAACCAGATTTCACCAAACTATTCTTTGTCGGAAAGGCAAGATAGAGACAGTCACACATAAATAATCACAGTACATTAAAAAGAGTAGAGAAAAAAAATCCCTCAGTTGTATGCACTGGCTGAAAACATTTCTTTTTCGCTGTACCTGAGGCTTATTCAACTTATGTGTTTTTATTTTCTGATTGTTGTTTTTAAATGTTCAATGTCAATGTGAAGCACTTTGAGTTGTGATTTGTATGAACTGTGCTAGAAAAATACATTTAGATTTGATTATTTGATACTGGCTTTGACAGAACATTTGATTTAAAATAAGACTATGCTTTGTGGGAAGGATTTCAGTTTGGTATCTTTCTTTTTACTGTGCTTAGTACTGTAATTAGTTCAGATATTAATGCCTTGGGTGACTGTCTTTATCTTTTTTGGTTCAGCGCTTTGAATTGCATTGTGCTGTACAAATATTATATCTAAAAAAATGGTATAGATCATTAATGTAGTTCTCTTTAATGCCAAAAACTGATTACAATGGGTAACAAAAAATATTTTTTGAAAATAGTCCAGGGTTTTCCAACTGAATTTGAAGACTAATTTTGATGCTCTGAGTCCGAAAATGACCTTGGTTTTGCTCAATCAGGTCAAGATTTTTTGCTACAGAAATATCTTTTTAAATTGATTTTGCGTAAAAACAAATTTCTGCGGATCATCAGCTGAGAAACCCTTGAGTTTTTTCCGTTTTCCTCAAGAAATAAAAGTCAACGTATCCAAAGTCATTCAGTTTTTATTTACTGCATCAAATTTGATAAGCAGAATTCATAATAACGTTGACGTACATAATCCGTAACACTATGGCTGTATCTCAAAAAGTTGACCTGATAGAGCAAAATGCATGTGATATTCGGACTCAGAACACCAAAATTAGTCTAAATCAGTTGAGAAACCCCAGACCATTTTTTGGCTGTCAACATGTGTTATTACTGATAGAAAACTAAACAAATAATAACCCTAGCTTCCTTATAATCGGCATATGCTAAGACAGTTTTAAATTTACTTGATAAAAGAAAATGGAAGGAAAGTTATGGGTAAAGGTGATAGGTCATTTTTAATTGATGACTACCAGTTTGAGTATTCCTGTATTTTCAAGGCCCTGCGACTGTAACCAGGCCCAAGTCTCTATAATGATTCATTTCTTTCATAAAATACCTCCACAAGCTCAAAAACAAAACAGAAAAATTGCCACTAATAGCTGCTAATACATGGTAGTTTATCTTGTACAGCGTGTCCGCGGTAACATTAGCCGTCCCGGGTCGTGTGTGGCGGACGGGCTCGCGGCCACATTAGCGCACACAGGCAGAGCTTTGTCCGGCCAAGGGAGGGTCCCACGCATGAAAAGGTGCCACTGTTCCCCCCCTCCGGTCTGCCAATCACGGAGCGGCCTGTCAACACTGGAGAGAGAGAGAGAGAGAGAGAGAAAGAGAGAGGAGGGGTGAGGATGGTGGGAGTTCTCCAAGCGTGGAAGAAAAGCAGATACACCAGGCTCTTACCCGTCCTGTCTGGTGACTCGGCACAAATGGAAATGGGAGGACTTCCGAGTGATGTATTCGAAAAAAGTAGGAGATAAGGCGGTGCCAAAAAATGTGGCGGTGCAAGATGGTTGAGTGAATATAGGACGGGATTAGGAGACGTATTGTGCCAAATGGACGTTTCACTTTTGATCCACTCAAAATTGCATTCAGAGCGACAGTGTGAGTTCACAAAGCGTAAGAACAGTCTCTTACAATCGCGAGGTTTATTTCTGGGGCCTTGCTGTTCCGCAAACTTTGTGTATGCAATTTTGTGTATGATTGTTTTGATTTACCGTGATCTTCTAATGTCTCGGATATTCCATAACATTATATAACCACTAGTCTAACATGACAGTTACCTTGTATTTACCCCTTGTGGTACCCTTGGATCAAAATGACCCGCCTCAGGGATTTAAAAGTATAAGAAAAATCCCCTAAATTGATTGGTCAAACTGATCTAATGAGTTTTAGTCATCACATTTCTGCAGCGCTCTTAAAAAAACCATGATTCCAGGTTATTTTTGCTTTTTCTTAACTAAACACATGCAGCAAGGGACTGGGTATCAACCTCGGGAAAAAAATGAGGGAGTGTCTTTACGTGTCCAAATACAGACATTTTTTATTGAATTTTGTTTATTCCAGTGTACTTCAATCAGGAATGTCCAAACCAAGGCCCGAGAGCCGATTGCGGCCCTCGGTATCATGTTTTGTGGCCCCCTGCCTTACTAACTGAAAGTAATCTTTGAGATCATAAACACAAGTTCATGGTGTCATCCTGCCAACTTCAGCTCAGCCAATATGGAAATGTTAAACCTGTTTTAAAGTAGTTCAGAATCCCTGGAATCCATTCATTTAATTTATTTGTATATACTGATATTTGTCTTTAATTGTGTCACAGCATTTATTTGGTCTATGGTGCTAAAGCAGCAGGCTAGAAGGTAAACATTTGTTATTATCAAAAATGTCCTTTTAATTTGGATATTAATTGTAGACTGATATAACAACAATTTGTTTGGATTAAATTTAAATATATAGTTAAAATATCATGTTGAATTTTTTATGGATAAAAAATGTTTTAAATGAGCCATAACATGTCATAGTAGCAATAGTAACAGATTAACACCTAATAATTGAAAATCAGTTCAAGGGCCAATAAAGACAGAAGCATTTCATTTCTTCTGTACATTTTCTCTCTCTCTTTCTCATTCAACAGCTGTTTCTCTGACAGTCCTCATTCTCAAATATAACTATATTTCAGAACCATAAAAAACATTTAATTTGGCCCTTATTTTAGAACGGCTTGTACTTGGAAAACCAAATATTTCAGTGACCCTCAGGAGACCAAATATTTTCTTTGGTGGAACTTTGAGTGAAAAGTTTAAGAAGCTCTGTCATATGATGTGGGCATCTGCACGGTCCAGACGGGGGATTTTCTCTGAGCAATCTACCTGTGCACTTTAAATACAATCCTGTTTCTAATTGAATATACAGGGGTGTCAACCTCATTTTGATCGTAGGCCAAAAAAAAATTAAGATCTGGTTGGGGCCAGAAGTGTAAAAGTATTATAAAAGTTTTTGACAAATTGACAAAAATTAACAAAATTTAATATAATAACATAAACTTATATTTTAGATAACATTTTAGGCTTTAAAATTAAGTATAACATTCCATGGACCTGTTTGACATGCAAGACTTTCTATTTTCTTATCTGTGACAGATGGAATCCACCTGCTCGGGTTTAGCTAGAAATGGACATAGCAGTGTATTATGCATACACTTACTTTTGAGTCTGCTGTCATTATTGTTTTTTAGTTTCTTATTTTAAGTAGGTCCTTAATTTGTCCCACAGTGGAGAAATTTTAGTTTTGATGAATACACGGACACACATCAAGCCACACAGTGAACATTACTTCGGCACTCCTTACAGGCAACGTGGGTTACAATGTCTTGCCCAAGGTCGATAATAATGTTGAAACTAATAATGATGCAGCTGTGGTGTTAAACTACTATTGTAGCCACAGCTGCCCTGGGGCACACTGACATAAGTGAGACAACCAGTATGTGCCATCACACACATCAGACTCATTCTAGGCAGTGTGGATGAAGTGTCTTGCCTAAGGACACTGTTCGGACAATGGACTAGTTTAAAAAAAATAAAATTAAAAAAATAGATAATATAAACTTTATTGATCTCACAATGTAGAAATTTACTTTACAAAGCTACATTATGATTGTCACATGTCGACCTCCTATGGGGGGCCCATATAAGATCCAGGCTCCAGATTGAGGCACCACTTCTGTACACAATTCCGACTCCAACAAAGCTCCCTCACGGTGACTTTAATGGCGCTTTCCTTCACACTCCCTGCACCGGAGAACAAACATTCGTCCTGTATACCTGACACACTGACAGCCTTCTACTTAGTCTACAATCCCTCCTTGCCGCCGACCAGATAACGGCTGAAAATTTGCCTTGTCACGCGGCCGATTAGGCAGCCAGTCTATCTCGTCTTCCCGGTGCTTCTTATCCATCAACCGCACAGCGCACTCTCCGGAAAAAAACACTGTTGGCGCGAAAGGCACGTCGGCGAACTCCGTGAAGAATGGTTGGCGAAAATGATGAGTGGAAAGGAGGAGAAATCGCTGGAGAAGGCGGGATTGGAAGAAGAGGCGTCCGGATTAGGCGCAGGTTAAGGGGATATTGATCTGTGTGCTGAAGACTGTTGGTCTCTTTTAGCGGCGCGAGACAAATGGCAGCCAACAGAAAATCGAGCGTGGATTCTCTCCAAGGACGGACTTTTTCTCCGCCTCGACAACACATTTTACATCGCTCAATCTCTGTCCCGAACAGTCAGATGCGGCCTCGGAAACGTATGACTGCGTGGACGGTTTCTCGTCTTTCAAAGGATGTTGGTATTCCGGTGGTAGCCAGGCCAGAGTTGCACTGAAATTATTTTAGCTATTGAAGCTGTAAGTAGTTCAGAGATTCAGGATGTTTGCATAGATAAAGGAGAAATTAAGTCTTTAAATCTCATACGAGTGTGTTCTTGCAAAAGATGATTCAAAATGTGCTCAAATTTGGCATATTGTCTTAATTTGAGCACTTTAAACTGCCTTAAATAACAAGATTTGCCAGTGGGACAAACCACAAGATTTTGTTTTGAAAAGATAGAAGAATTGTCTCCCTTGGAATGAGAAAATAAAGTTCTTGAATGGTTTTGTCCCAGTAGCTAATCATGTTTTAAAGGAATAGGCCACCGTTTTAACACACTGACATATGTTCTTACCTTAGACTAGTTGATATGTACCTGTCTGGTCTTTGTCCGTGTGCTCTGTCATGCAAACGGAGCACAAACGCAGCCTCTTCCACAGACTGTATAGTTCCAAATCAGCTCCCGTTAGAAGCTACCAAACTCTTCCACGTGTTCCCCATTTAAATACAGTTATGTGACGTGTTACTCTAGCAAGTATAGTAACACAGAAATGTAACATGTCGATTTTCTCAGCGTGTAAAAAGAGGTACTATATTGTGAGGCGCAGTAATACAAGGAGCACTACGCCCGCGCACAAACTCCGACAGACTTCTCTCCCGCTCAGGCTGCTTCTATTGACGGAAGTGAGTGGGAGAGAAGTCTTTAGGAGTTAGTGCGCGGACGTAGCGCTCCTTGTATTATTACGCATCACAATATAGTCCCCCTTTTTATCCACTGAGAAAATCGACATGTTACATTTCTGTGTTACTATACTTTGTAGAGTAACACGTCACATGACTTTATTTAAATAGGGAACACGTGGAAGAGTTCAGTAGCTTCTAACGGGAGCTAATTTGGAACTATACAGTCTGTGGAAGAGACTGAGTTTGTGCTGCGTTTGCATGACAGAGCACACGGACAAAGACCAGACAGGTACATATCAACTAGTCTAAGGTAAGAACATATGTCAGTATGTAAAAATGGTGGCCTATTCCTTTAAGATAGTCATAATTGCTATTGTTTGCATTCACTTACACTAATGGCACTTGTAAAAAAGGGTAGGCAATATAAGCATTAGCTTCAGCCTACTCTTTTTCGGTCTTGGTTTCTGTTGTACATTTTACACATTGTCAGGACAGTAAATTACAAGTGACCGAAATGAACCTCATTAATTCATATTCAAATTTAGATTAAATTATTACCTAATTTTCCATCTTTTTTAGCAGCGTAGAGAAGCTTTTTCAACCACATGTTCCCAAAATCTCATGCAGTGGCTAACACTATTTTGTGGATTTTTCATTTAGACCTTTGCTTTTTTCTCCAGTGTGGCAGGTGTATACTCCAACAGCATCATAGTGTGTTGTGGTGCTCCTCCCAGCGGCTACACCACCTCTGCTCCTGTGACCTCCTGTATTACTATTGTTAGTAACTTTTAGAATGTTGTATTCATTTATTTGTATGGAGGGATATGTTTCTGCTGCTGGACACCTGAATTTCTCCTGTGGGGATCAAGAAAGTCAATCTTTGTCATGCAATTCCATTTGCCCTGTTCATTGGCTGTGTATAGATGCATTTGATTTAACAGAAAAGTGGCAGTAGAAATACTTTAGTTAAGATGTTTTGAATACTTATGTCAAAAACAAAGTATGCACATTTGCATTGACTTTTATGATCTGAATTTAAAACAATAGATTGAGAGAACAGAGAGAGACCAGAGAGACAAGATTTAGGGATTAGAGAACAAAGTGAAAGACCAGAGAGAGAAAACAGAGAGAGACCAGAGTGAGAGACCTGAATGAGAGAAAACAGTGAGAGAACAGAGTGAGAGACCAGAGTGAGACCTGAATGAGAGAAAAAAGTGAGAGAACAGAGTGAGAGAACAGAGTGAGAGAACAAAGAGAGACCTGAATGAGAGAAAAAAGTGAGAGAACAGAGTGAGAGAACAGAGTGAGAGACCTGAACGAGAGAACACAGTGAGAGAACAGAGTGAGAGACCAGAGTGAGAGACCTGAATGAGAGAACACAGTGAGAGAACAGAGTGAGAGAACAAAGAGAGACCAGAATGAGAGAACACAGTGAGAGAACAGAGAGAAACCAGGGTGAGAGAACAGAGAGAAACCAGAATGAGAGAACAGAGATAGACCAGTGAGAATGAGACCAGTGGGAGAAAACAGAGAGACAGACCACATAGTGTAGTGTTCTCCTGCTTGGTTGGAATGAAAACCTGCAGTCACAGAGGCCTTGAGATAACCAGAAGTAGAGGCCAGGTGAGACCAGAGAGAGACCACATGAGAGAGACCAGAGAGAGTACCAGAGAGAGTGTAGTCAGTGTTCCAGTCCACTTGTCGAGACACTCCCAGATCTGTCCAGACCTTCACCTCCGTCGGCGAGGAGCAGCTCTTCGCATCAACAGCCAGATCCGAGAGCGATTCTGAAGGTTGCCGGGATAATTAGTATTGCTCTCCCCGTGTTCGTTACTGGGTCCGTGGAGGCTCGGCGTTTGATTAGGGCCGCAGCCTTGGCCCCGCACCCAGCCGAGGTGTTTGATGATGGGGGAAGAAGTGTGTGCTGCAGGGGGGTGGAGGTTCAACATCAAACAGCCCAGAGCAAGAGGACCGCAGCCCTGAGGGAGCCCCCCGAGCGCAAGCATCCAAAAGGTAGAGGCCCGCTCCCAGGGAAGAGTCGAAGGGAGGAACTGGGGAAGTTTGAGATTTGGGAAATGAGGAAAATTCTATGTTCAATGTGTATGAATGAGAGAGACCAGAGAGAGAGAGTGACCAGGGAGAGACCAGAAAGAGACCAGAGAGATCGATCTGAGAGAGAGACACCAGAGTGAGAGAGACCAGAGAGAGACAGACCAGAGAGAGACAGACCAGAGAGAGAGAGTGACCAGGGAGAGACCGGAGGGATCAATCTCAGAGAGAGATGAGAGAGACACACGGGAGAGAGAGAGACCAGAGTGATATCAGAGACCAGAGAGAGATATAAAAGAGAGAGATGAGAGAGAGACACCAGCGAGAGAGAGAGAGAGAGACCAGAGTGATAGAGACCAGAGAGAGATTTGAAAGAGAGAGATGAGAGAGAAAGAGAGAGAACTTAGAGAGAGAGGGAGACCAGAGAGAGAGAACTGAGGGAGAGACAAGAGAGAGGACCCAGAGAGAGAAAACAGAGAGAGACGACAGAGAGAACAGCCTACTCTCAAGGATGCGGAGAACTTAAGGACTGGGGAACCTTTTGATTTGAGAGTTTAGGAAAAATTTATATTTCATTTTGTTTTTTTGTTTTGTTAGTTTTATTTTGTATTAATGGAGTAAATATTAAGGTTTTTAACCACAATAGTATGTTGTATATTTACCGACCCAGTTGTATTCCAGAGAGATATATACCAGATAGAGAGAACAAGGTGAGAGAACAGAGAGACATCAGAGAAGAACCAAAGAGAGAAACCAGAGAGAGAGTCCAGAGAGAGAGATCAGAGACAGAGAGAGAGGCCCACTCACAGGACTGGAGAGAAGGAAGGAACTGGGTGTAAGGTAAAACGTATACTGAAAAATGTTGTCAGGAAGTTCTCTGGATTCCCTTGGTTTGAATGGGAGCAAACCAAGACATAAATCTCAACAGTAGTTTTTTTTGTAGGACTTCATAAAGTTTTGCAAACACAGATCAGAGAAACAAACATTTAAACCACAAACAATAGAATGATAAAAACACATAAAGCCATTGGTCCATAAGGGGCAGTGATTAATATCCATAAATGTAGATAGATGCTACTGTTTATTGAATGGTAAGTGTGTAAGCCTACACACTTACATAACATCATTTCCCTAAAATTGCTCTGAAACCCGTTACAACTGCAGAATCCCCCCTCCCTCCCTCTCACCCATCCCCTCCACCCACCCATCTCCCCTCAGCCTCCTCTCGGTTGCTTCATTGATTTTTGCCGATCTGTTTTTTTTCCCTCCGCGCGGCTTTAGCTTGTCCTCTTTCCTCTTTTCATGTCGGCTCTGTGGTTCTTCTCCGGTTGTGAGCGGCCTGTAAGCTGTGTGGGGGTGTCACATGCAGCTTGGAGGGGGGGATTATTCTTTGAGCAGCAGTGATAAAGTGTGTAGTTTTGACCAAGTACAAATAAGTACAACATCTAAGATAATAAACATTTACTTACTTTTGTTCATGACCAGGGTGTCAGGTATGAAAATGTCTTATCAGGGTAAACAGATGGGTCATTCCCTCATTTCTTGATGAGCCCTCGACATCTCCAGTAGGTTCAACGGTCCCAGGTATGCCCACCCTCAGCGCTCTTCCCTTCTCATTTATCTGGCCTTCCTGGAGTTCTATTTTATGCTAATTTTTTGGCTGGCTGGCTCATTGGTCCTCCTATAAGTGTCAATCATTCTGGTGATAGGTAACATAAGACTGTCGTACGTGCTCGTCAAACAAGACCAGAGCAGCGAATGACGCGCCACTTCATGAAGAAAGGTCTACATTAAGTCATATGTATACACACAAGTATATACTTTTTGCACTTAAAATTATTTGGAAGGATTTTTTCTTCCGGATGGATCATCATCCTCCTATTTGCCAATCATTTTGGTTTAAAAAAGGGGTTCCTTTTGAGGAGGGTGGTTCTTTTCTAACATAAGATATGATCAGATGGACTATATTGATCTCACACAGGAGAAATGTACATGTCACATCTGGCATGGATAGGATCACTCAAAAAGAAAATAAATTGTGCAAAGAAAGAAGTGTGCAAAGATGTTAAATGGAGGATATATTATGTACAATAAAAGTGGCAATTAAGAAACAGTGGCAATAATAGTGCAGGTTTTTATTTTATTTTTTTCAGCCGCAGTGCAAGTGACTTAAAGCTGCACTAACTCACTTTGTGATTTCGAAGCAGCGGTTTCAAATGTGAGTGCTGGCCTCGCTCTTTCTCCTCCCCTCCGCGCACCCATGAAGATATTGCCCCCCTCTACCCCACACCCATTGTTTACGGAGCTAGCATCTCACAACATGGATCGCACATTTGAGCGTGGATGGCGTGACCATAAAATAATAGAACCGGGAAGCACGGAGGAACCAGACTTTCTTTTGGATGTTTCGCTGTGTAAGCAGTAACCGGTAACGAAGACACGGGAAGTTTCAGGTTAGCCTCTGCCGCTTGTTTACCTCAGCTGTCTGTGCTAACAAGAGACCTGTAGATTTCTCAAGAAAGTTAGGGCCGGTGGTCCGCTGTGATTGGTCACAATCTGGTCCCAAAGGAAATTCTCTTCCATATTTCACAAAAACTCAATCTAAAATAAAATGTCACGCCAGCACAAATCTGCGCTACTTATTCTTCAAAAGAACGTATATCCCAATGCACTGCATGGATATGGATTGAATTTCCCTAATGAATACAAAAACAAAGTGAGGTAATGCAGCTTTATAGTGACTTAAAGTGACTTACTGTACAGTCTGACAGCAGTGGGGATAAAGGTCCTGCAGTAGCGCTCCTTCTTGAACAGGACAAATTCAGGATAATCCATACCTTTGAGATAAAATCTTTTAATCTAGATTAAAAAAAGTTGCAGTACCTTTTAACAACTAAAGATATAGATTTTTTTTTTTTTATATTTCCAAGTAAAGTTGTGCTATACTTTACATTAACTTATCTTGAGTGCAACACTGACATTTTGCCACTGTTCTCTCAACCGTAAATCATACAAAAAACCATCCATCCATCCATTTTCTACCCTTTAATCCATTTCTGGGTCAGGGGGGTGGCAATCAGAGATGCCACCCAAGTCTCATAGCACCAGCCCCTCACTGACCCTCTGCAGGTGGTGAGTCCACAGGAGGACGGCTGCTCTCTGAGTGTGAGCATAGCCTTGATCAAAAAACATTTGGTTGAAACGTATATCATAGATTCTCTGGTGATCAACCAAAACCAGAGAAATGGCAGTTTTTTTTTTTTTCCCAGAAATGAATCCAGAGTTAATGGATAAGTTTTCCTTTAAAAAAACTTAAGCTCAAAATAATTTGTGAGAGATCAAATTCCAGTGTTAAGACCAACCCACCTACATGCTCGGTGACGGACAGCTTTGATGCCCAGGGTCTCACAATATTTATTCCGCCACTTCTATTTTGGGACGCACCGTTCGTTCTTTTTTGCATAAATTCACAGACATTTCCCTGGCTTTTTTCCTAAAGCGACTCTCACTTCATCAAAGCAACAGAAATCAATATTGGTGCAGCTAAAAAAAAACATTGCCTCGTATAATCAAAATTGTTTTTCCTGACAATTACCCGGGCCGGACTCGCGAGAATATTTACAGTAATCAATGTACAATCCGTAAGTTTGTTTTGTTAATTAATTCTCCTCGGCAATTAACTCCCTCATTGAGAAAACACCCACAAAAACGACCTTTCTTTGCCGAGTGAAACTTATTGCAGATATTCGGGTAGCTCATTAGCACTCTTGGCTCAGACGAAGGCGCGGAATGACTGTTTGGGGAATTTCATATCTTGAGGTGTGCCTGGTTTTTTTTGCAAGGATGGATTTTTAATTTTTGGGTAAAAATGGGTCAAGCACCGCGTTTACTTAGCGGGGATCGCCCACCTCTCCTCCCACCTTCCATATGGGTGTATGCATATTCATTAGCAGAGCGGGCAGGTACGACAAAAATGGGAAATTTGTTGATTTGTCGTCCTAATTTGAAAAAGTCTACAGGGCGCTGCAGCCATGATTGTTTTTAGGCATGTGATCCAATCCATTTGTTGGGATGTACAATTTGAGAATTTTTTTATGATGAGGTATAGGAAAATATAAGTAATAATAAATGGAAACATTCTGCTGCAATTATTTTGGCTGAATTTTAGTAAAAAGCTAGCTACAGATATTGATTGTTATGTTCATTATGGCATGAATGTGTAAGTCACCACAATAAGAGAAATCTTTACACACTTCATGTTTTCAGGCTGTAATACCCCTCACGCACATTTTTTACTCTCTTTTCTAACCACCTGAACTCATGACTGCTGGGAGTGCCATCGTGACCGTATCTGTTAGTTGTAGGTCTGAGCAGACAAACAAAAAAACTTATCTTCTGACTTTAAATAAAGAAAACTGTCACATATTAATTCCTTCATTTTCAACCATTCATTTTTTATTAGTCCAATTGTGGGTCGGGGGGTTGGCAATGAGAGCTACCCAATACTCATAGCACCAGTCCCTCGCTGATCCTCTGCAGGTGGTGGGTCCACAGGAAGATGGCTTCTTGACACAAGCTTCTTCTTTCAGCGTGGGGCTTCAGGCAACATGGGGTTAAGTGTCTTGCCCAAGGACACAACGACAATAGACATTTGTGGGAGCAGTTGGAGTAGGTCCCTTGGTGGGCTCAAACCCACGACCTTCAGGCCTAAAGGCCAATGCTCTACCAACTGGGCTACCGTTGCCCCAATATATGGTCCTTTACACTAGCAGTAACATGTCAGGTCATAAAACAGTACTAGCTTCTAAACATTTGTTGTCTTATTTAAAGTACCTTCTTAGCCTTAAACATAAAGTCACTTGAGAAATGGACAAAACCAAAAACATTTGCTTTTTTGGTCTCTTCACGTCGTTATTCATTCACTCCATACACGGAAATGATGAACTTCTATTGTAGCCACAGCTGCCCAGGGGCACACTGACAGAAGCGAGGCAACCAGTATGTGCCATCGGCCCCTCCGACAACCACCAACCATTCACACCAGACTCATTCTAGACAATGGGGGTGAAGTGTCTTGCCTAAGGACACAACGGCACTTTGGCACTTTACAGCCACAGCCGCCCCACTGTGGCATCAGGTGTTCCCAGAGGTTAAGTGTCTTGCCAAGGACATGACAGCAGACATCAGTGGGAGTCAGAGGAAAAAGTCTTCTGGTGGGCTCCAACCCCTCGACCTTCAGGCTCAAAGGCCAATGCTCTACCAAATGAGCTACTGTCGCCTCCTTTTTCATGTTTGTGCCGAAATATCCTGATATCCATGTGGATCTAAAAACAACACAGTGACTAATAAGAGAGAACAATCTTGTAACATGGATAAAAGCTAGAATTATTATTTTTTTGCATACAATATAGGAAAAACACTTCCAGGCCGGTGGCAAACCCGACCAGTATATTTGCAAAGGAGTATCGCTTCTTTGACACCACTCATAAATCAGCAAATTGACCTATTACTTTCTCCCTCCGCATTAAACCCAGCTCACGTCTTCCTCCCCGCGTGCTGCCGAACGTCGCGGAGGATAAGACCTTCTATCTCAGGTCTTATCCTCCGCGACGTCCTCTGTCCGCGATGGGTGCAGAGACCACATCTGCCCATCACTCCCCTCCCCCTCCTTCGACACTTTTACTGGCCTTAAATTGTCCGCTGTCACCAGTAAGCGCGCCTGGGTGCCGGGGCCTTCCAGATGTTCCGGGCCGTTTTGTTTCCGAGGCTGGGGCAGTAAATCTATCAAGGGGCGATCGCGCGGGGAAAGGAAGTCCGCTCTTTTCCTCCTCCATCTGTCGGCGCGTGGCGGGCCGTGGGATGCAGCCGAGGCGAGGGATTGGAAGGAGAGTGGAGTGGAGGGTTGGTATAGGTCTATGCATGAGCTTGTAAAATTGCTTCAAGGTAGTGGGTTATCATCTGCTGTGTGATCCTTTAATTCAAGTCCATTCTATAATCTTTTTTTAAAGCCCTATATCGCAGTAGCAGTCATCGCGGAGGACTTAACAATTTGTCGTTGCCTCAAAATCGGATCAGAGAATCAAACATTTTGAACACAGAAATGCAATGATAACAAACACATAGGAGCCATTGGTCCATAGGGAGCGGGATGACCATTGTCTCAAAATATCCAGAAGTTAGACCCTTCTGCATCTGCAAGGAATTTAAGACAGCCATCTTGGAGTCTTGGCATTTTCTCAAGAAGATTTTATTTTGCATTTTAGTAGACTTGACGTTTGAACACTTACTCAAACATTTTGACTGCTTTAAAACAAGATTTGCCAATGGGACATATTTTTTAACACAAGATCCTTTTGCATGTGTCTTCCTTGGATTGTGAAAATAACCTGAAAGACAAAATGGCTTGTCTTTTTGGCAAATCTTGTTACAGTCAGAATGTCCACAAATTAAAATAAAATTACTTGATTCAAGCAATTATTATTTGAATTGTAATTTTTTTCCCCTGTTGGAAACCTTAAAAAAATATTGCAAACTGAAAATCCTGGTATATAATAGCACTTGTTTTCTTTCAAAAAAAAACTATGGAAAATCAATTAGTACCGTCTAAAGATGACTCAAACGGCCATGAATCACTCTGAAACTTTGACACAACAATCATGGCTAACAGCTCTTACAGGTTTATCCTGCACAATGCCCCCTGGTAAAAATGTATCCCAAATTCTCCACCATGGCATCAGGAGTCCCACATGTACAAAGACATCATCATTACATCTTCATCATGATACCAAGGCCTACCGTACTGTGGAGGAGGGAGCAATTGCCAAAAATAGATCCTTGGGCTCTCTTTCTCGCTCCGGTCCGACATGGCACTGAGGAGGAGGCTGACCCCGCTGACCCGCTAACCTGCCGGCAAACCAAGAACACGTGTAGGTGGGGGCTCGTCCGGAGAACTGGCGGGTCAACTGGACACGGCCCTGGTGACTGACTGGAGAAAGGAAGAGGCGGTTGTTTGGCAAAGATGGAAAGTCTGTGTGAGTAAGAGCACCCAGATGCCAGTGAGTTTACTTGGATAATTTGTCGGTAGAAAGACTTTGTTGCTAACTTGGAATGGTTTGAAGGACGCATGAGCAAAACTTGGCAATATGGTTCCCTTATCAAAAACATTCAGTTGTTTATAGCTTCACCCACTCGTATCCCTTCAGCTCTCTCTCTCTTTCTCTAGAGTCAAGCTCCTGAGGTGTATTTTTGCCATTAAAAACCTACTCCCTGCTGGAACATCTCCATGTCAAATCGTGTACATTACACCTGCATGTTTACATAAGTGCAATGGTGTTATTTAGCACTTTTTTGGACCCTCAATGCACTTCCCATGTCACTATACAGTCAATCGATACACGTTAGTGATAAACTGCTACTGTAGCCAAAGCTGCCCGCAACCGCACTGACAGGGGTGAGGTAACAAGTCTGTACCATTGGCCCCTCCCACCACCAACCATTCACACACACACTCCAGACTATCTAGGCAGTGTGGGTGAAGCGTCTTGCCTAAGGACATAAAGACAATGACAACTTTACAAACGAAGCTACCCTACTGTGGCACCTGGTGTTCCCAGAGGTCTCCCATCACAGTACTAAATAGGCCCCACCCTACTTATCTTCAGACATCTGTCGGGATCTGGCTTTCACATGCAGGTGGCACCTCTACATTATGTTCAAAATTGTAAAATTTTCAAAGTTGAAATTACTTCTAAACCACCTGTCGACGAGATCATTGATCTGAGACTCTCAGAAGCACAATGTGTAGTCGTTGATTAGACTCTTCTACAAATGGACTTCATGTGATTTTCCCGATTGCTTTCATTGCTGTAACAGTTGAATAATCGCTAATCCAGTTTAATCATTAATTGTTCGATATTCAGCTTCCAACACATGTATGTGCTGACCGTGATTTCACACCTCAAACAGAACAAGAAAGTCCTGGGTTCAATTCCACCTCCAGACTGTGTGGAGTTTGCATGTTCTCTCTGCGCCTATAGGTCTGGCATGCGCCTCCTCACGTACAGAAGCAAAATGTCGTCCACAATTATATTGGTCTATGCATGTTTTACCACCGGAGACCAAATATTAGAGCTGGACTGACCGAGTGTGACATCACCATGGGGTTAATGCGAAAGAGGCCGATTTGAACATAAGCTATCCGGAGCCAATTTCCTTACATGAGCATTTCTTCTGCTGTGTTAGCTTCATGCCGTAACAAGGGCCAACGTGTTTTTAAAATGTTTGCTAAGATGCGAGTTTCCCCCCCAAAAGGAAGGCCTCTGATTGGTCTATCCGTACACACTCATATCTGGATTTACAAAGACAATATCACTATACCACACATTATTTAAGGCCAAAATGGTGAGTGTTTACTTTTCAGTGTAAGTCAATAGGAGCCAGAGCGAGTTGGAGCAAAACTTTGTCCATGAGCACTTCACTGAGCTTGCAAGTTAGCATTGTCCATTCATGCTCCTGACCAACTATTATAAATGTACAACTTCTACAACTTCCATAACGCGTTTTCTCTCACCGTGATTACAAAGTCCTTCACAATAAACTGTCATAAACAAGAAATCCAAATGGCACAATCTCACTCTCGCTTCGCCACTCCATCGCCACGTTTCGAAATAAATCAAACCACACGACCTCTCTCTAGTCGCAATTTCCTCTGGGCTCGGGCGAAACGCGAGTCCAGATGTTTCCATATCCCAACGATGCGCTCTCCTTCCTGTCTTCCCTCGCATTCCCGAACCACTTTGGAAATTAATGTTTAGAACAAGCAGAAAGCGTCGCCTTCGCCCAAGGAACTGTCTGTTTCGCGTTGATAGAAAGCCACATGTAGCCCGGAGCCGCGACTTATTATTTTGCTTCTATTTCTCGGTGTTCGGGTCAGAAAAATGCAACTTTGCACGCCCGTCCGCTCCCATTTTCTTTATGCGCAGCTCTAATTGGGAGTGCGAGGGGTTAAAAGATGCTCCGGTTATCGCGAAGCTGGCAGGGAAAACACAATTGGAGGAGGGTATAATTTGGAAGTTGGAAATGTTTGTCGTTATTATCTCATTCAGACACATTGGAGCGGTTACAGGAGTGTGGATGACTATTGGGGTTTTTTATGAGAATAGTGGGTATGATAAATTATTTGACATAATTGACATCGAGTTTGGTTTGAATGCCAATTTGTCACATGCGTCGTCTACACAAACTGCAGATTAAGTGCACTGACGCAGTTTGCTGTTACGGCTCTCGTCTTGCATTTGTAAACAAAGAATCACGTCACTTTTCCGGTTTGTGTTTTTGTCTACTTTTGTTGATATAGATCTAGGGTGTGGTGTAGTTTATAATGCAAAATACAATGGACTTTTGGGGGCAAGATATATCAACAGCGTTACATTTTAGAATACTTAAAAAGGAGGGGTACCTAACTTTCAAACCAAAAAAATTAAACTAGAAAAACCTCTGCATCGAAAAAATATGTACTAATTTACATATGCAAGTTTTTTTTACCTCTTTAAATCAGTTTTTTCAGACAGAACATTGAAAGAAGAGGACCACCTTCATTCAGTCAATCGGCTCTTAGCCTAAAGACTCATATAGTAGGCTTTTTCTCACAAAGATGGATTTGGCAACAATGAATCCAAATAGTTTACAGGAGCAAAGGAAATACAATAACACCACACAGGAGCCATGGGGAGTGGGATGACCACTTTCAAGAAATGTTAATAAAGATCCCACTACCCGCCTGCTCACCTAAATGTGAAAGCCAGATCTCGTCAATCCTATGAAGCTAAGCATGGTAAGTTCTGGTTAGTGCTGTGATGGGTGACCTCCGGGAACACCAGGTGCCGCAGTGTGGTGGCTGCAGCCGTGAACTTTAGTCAACACCCAAATTGAACGAGTATGGTGTGTGTGTCTGAATGGATTGTCGCTGATGGCACCTACTTGTTGCCTCGTCCAATAATTAAAACGTCTTTGAGTGTACAAAAAGCAATATATAAAACTGATGCACTACTATTATTACTATTAATAAAACGCATGATAGCCATTGGTCCATAGAGAGCGCGATAACCACTGCCCATAAATGTCCAGGATCTTCACTGTCCTCTGACTCTCTCGCTCACAAACTATTACTTTCTATTGGTCAAACAAGTTATTTATGAAGCAAAAAGTTGCATGTGCTAGCTTTTAAGAGAGCTCATGCTAACACCAGCTCCGGATCATGTTTGCTGCGGTGACGTATTTGTTTAGTCGGCCGCCTAAATGAGCCTGAACCGTCTTGCGGTGTGGTCCTCAACGTGTCTTTACGAAGAGATTGTCTGGCTTCTGTTTCGCTTCGACACACGACGCACGCTTTCTGCCAGTCACTTCCAGGCAGCCCAAGACACAATAAACAACCTTTATTCCCCCCTCCTTTCTCCATCCCGGGCTGAACGCTTGATCCGGAGCAGAAAGCATGCCAGCAAACTTCCCTTCGGGCCCTTCGCAGAGAGAAGCCAGGCCCAAACAAACAGGAACTCTTAGCTTACACGTGCAATCCGTACACCTGCTTAGCGTTAGCATAGGTTAGCGCTGGCATGGGCGCTTCCTCGGAGGGATGGAAGAGCACGGATTTGGAGTAAATTAAGTGGAAAGTTCGAGTGGGGACATACTTTGGCG